TACAATATATCAGATGAAGAACCATTTGTTAATTCTAACCAAACATCAGASCCTCTAGATGTATTGCAAGTCAATTCACAAAAATTTAGAAGGGGGGTAATGTGGAGATCGCCACTTTACACTAATTACAATAATAACTCCTAATTTTTATTTRTACTGTACATAATAGTTATTCGTACCATACTTATTCAGTTGCCATTTTATGTCATTTATCCTAAAACTTAACGAATGTAAGAATRTTAGATCAAAAGCACAAAATTGAAATATAGTTCGTCAWCGACCATCGAAGTGTTAACAACGACTCGCTTGGTACCGCATCACCACCAAATATATATATACACATATGTTAATGCCTTTCTGACATATTGCATATTAAAATATATATTTTTTTAAGGACATGCGCTGTCGAATATATAAGTGTATTTACAAATCTTAATACACGCTTGATTGCTTTGCGCTGTTGTGAGTCTTTCAAAGAATCAACTAAAGTAGAGTGTGAGTGACGTTCTTTAGGATTAAAGGTAATAATGGCGAAAGGAATTTCATTAGGATGAATGACTTAATTTCAGTGGTCGAATTCGTGTCCTAAACATGTAAACACAGATATATWCCGTTCATACTGTTATCGATTTATATACGTATATTTATTTGGAATTATTTTGCCCTATTAATAGGTCAAKAAAAGCTTAGTGTTTGTTTAAGCGGCACTTGTAGTGTGATCGTTGGAAGGAAAAATTGTTTTGGGAGTTGTTGTAGACTCATTGCACGAAACTTTATTTAATATTTTATGTTCAAAAAAAATTAAATCTGGATAGTTAATRAACACACATTTCAAAAAACTAAATGTAAGTTATTGGCTATCTTTAGAGTGGTTAAAAAAATCTAGCACTTCTTACAAAAACTTGATTTTGCTGATCTGTATTTGTATGACAGCTATAAGCTATAGTGGTCTGATCCGAACAATTTCTTCAGAAATTAGACCTTTGCTTTGGGTAATAATTCGTAGAAAATTTCATG